CAAAGGTCCTTCCAACTCTTCCAATGAACCTTTTTTCGAGTTGCATCATTGCCCCACCAAAATCGAGCCATCATTACATGAATCTCATCAATTACCCCAACTGGAATTTTATAGACCCCCATAATGTACGTCGGAACAGCTTGAATCACCGATTTGAGAAGAATCTCCTTCCCTGCTCTCGATAAAAAAAATTCCTTCCATCCCACAATTTTTTCCATATTCTGTCTTTGAAGGCCGAGAATACCATCTTCTTTGATCTTCCAATTATTGTCGGAATTCCCAAATATTTCTCGTGCTTATCGACTCGTCGCATAGCCAAGACGCTCAATAACTCCTCTTGCAAAGAGTCACTCACCTCTTTACTTTACTGAAAGAGACCTCTGATTTTTCATAATTAATTTTCTGTTCGGAAACTTGTTCGTATGTGTTGAGTTTTTTTCCGGTCCTCAACGGCTAGCCCTGGCAGTCTGGCACCATGGATAGTACCATCAACTAAAGCATTCCGGATCAAACCTAAAAAAGCATTTGCAACAAGAATAAACAAGTATGGAGAAAGAGGATCTCCCTGCAGGAGACCCCTTGAGGGGGAAACCGAGCCACATACACCACCATTGACAATAAAAGAGTATTTAACTGTAGTCACACAATCATAATTGTCTCCACCCATCTATCCGCGAGCCCCAAGTTCGGTCATGTTTGGATTTGACTGAAAGTTATTATGATAATTGAATTTTATTTTTTTTTTTCTCCCCAACTCATCATGCATGCATTTTATTGTTACTTCAAGAAAAGTCACAATTTTTACAATGAAATTAACTATCAAATTAAAGTACTGTTTATATAAATTAAATTAGTAATTAGATTTGTTAGATCCATAAATAATACTACTAGATATCTAGATCATGTATAATGAATTACAAAGATCAACTATGTTTGGACTTAGACGTGTTTAAAATTATTTTGAGCTAATCTTACACCGATTCTTCGATTTTTGGATTGGTTATATTATTTTTATTGGTATTAACCAAAAAAAAATTGTAGCTTTACACATATAGTACAGGTCTTTGATGAAGTTTAACGCTCAAACTTGCATTGTTATATTTTGACTTTTAAAGTTTTTAAAATTAATTATTCTAATTTTTTTTTCAATTTAATTTAAAAATATTATTTAGTTTTTATTATTAATAAAATTAAAAATCAGAAAAATAAATAAAAAATTTTATCAGGAAATAATGTAGATGATATTTAATTAACATTAATATTTAAATATAATTCAAAATTCATTAAATCTTAACGGTTTATTTTTAAAAACTATGATTTTCATTTTTTAAACGACAACCATAAAATCATCCTTTATTGTGTATACTTATTATCCGAAATTATTTGTTACATTAATTAGTAGCAAAACATCAAATTAAACTACCCGTAATATCGTATGAATATGACATTTAATTTTGGACGGTACGAAGGATGACATTATATTAGGTAACTGAGTAGACCTTGACCTTCCACAATCCAACATCGATCATGCAATGCCTAGAATTTATACGTATTCTTGAATTATAGATTAGTTGTACGTACGTACGTACTGCTATGCATGACAGTAAGACATATGAAGTGACTTTTCATGAAACAATTATTCATATTTATTTCATGCCTAAGAAACTTGGACAAAAAGTTACTGATTACTAGCTAGTTCAATAAAGTCTTAAATTGATTATTCCTTGGCTAAACCTATATGTTAAGACTAATCTACAAATGAACAAATAAAATTGGAGTTATAACTGGAATTATGTGGGAAAAGATGTTACTTAAGATTACAATCTATACTATATACTAAAGTAATCACCAAATAGGACACTTAGCACAATTGTATGAAAAATTTTCCCTCCAAAATGCTAATTTTTTTATTTAAATGAATTTGTATCAAAAAATAAATAAATAAATAAACAAATTAATTAAAATTACTTTAAAATAAAAAATATTTATGTAACATACAAGAAATTTAAGGATATACATTCAATAAATTTAAATTTAAAAAAAAAATAATAAGTTACATACTTGTAAGTCATTGTTAATCAATCTTACCATTATTTTATGTGGATTGCTAAACATCGCCCGCAAATCTCCACATAAAGCCCACAAACTTATATTGAAGTTACAATATTACCCTTGACCTTAAAAAAAACACAACCTCAATAAAAATCAAAGTACGGGGATGTCGAGGCTCGTGGCGGCAAGGTGGTTGGCTAGTGGCGGCAAGATAGTGGTGGCTCGTGGCGGCAAGGTGGTGGTGGCGCCAGGTCCGGCAGCCACGTCCACCGGCGTGGCGTCTGGGCAGGACGCCCAGCCACGGTGAGTGGCGTTTGGGACAGGCGCCAGTCACTGTGGTTGGGCGTCCTGCCCAGACGCCAGGCCGGTGGACGTGGCTGCCGGACCTGGCGCCACCACCAGCCACGGGCCGTCCTGGCCAGGCGCCCCAGCTGCCTTAAATTTTTTTTTTTTTAATTTTTTTTTTTTTGGAAAATCAGAAAAATTTTCTAATTTTTTTTTTAATATTTATTAATTTTATGTGTTATTTTTTATAAGTCTAGTATATATATTTTTAATAAAATCAAATAAAAAACATAAATTTCCACATCCTAAATCAAAACATAAATTTAATAAACATAATTTTAAAAAATAAAAAAAAAGGCAAAAAAAAAAAATTTAAAAAGTAAGGGCGGCGTCCAAACCAGACGCCAGTGCACTGGTTGTGGCGCCTTGCCTGGACGTCCTTGCCATGGTTCCGGCGTCCAAACTAGGCGCCACCTCGTTTTCCGTCGAAGACGACGTATCTCCGGTGACCCTCGCCTCTCCGGCCTCCCTGGGCAACCCAGTACGACTCCACATTTGTTAGATCGAGATTTGTTCACTTTGGGTACGATTTTAGAAATGGGCAAAATTGTCAAACCATGTCTAATTTGTGGGCTTTATGTGGAGATTTGCGGGCGATGTTTAACAAATCCCTATTTTATTTGATGCGATCTTACCATTATGAGTCTATGCATTTGCACAAGCCTTAAACTAGTAAACTAATAAAGACCACACGATTTTAATTATTGATTTATTGTACTCCCTTCGTGTTTTAATAAATGTTACATTTACCAAATACGACCGTATTTAAATAAGTGTTACACTTCCTTTTTTGGCAAAAAAAACTACATTTTAATATTATATCTCTCTCCTCTTATGGTCCCCTCCTAAACCCACTATAACTTTTTTTTTTATTATTATTTCTCTCCTCTCACATTTATTACTTTTCAATAAACTATTAACTCCACTATTTTTCTTTTCTAATTTTTTAATACTCCAACTATCCCACTTACCTCTTAGTTTATTTAAGTCAATTAAATTGTCTATAACTATGTGTCGGTCAAAGTATAACACTTATTAAAATACGGAGTGAGTAAGTGGTTTTTTTTTATTTAAATAGAATTAAAGATGAAAAAAGGTATTTATTTTATATAATATACAGAGGAGTACTTATTAAGATTTTCAGAATAAATTGAGATTAAATACTGTTTATTAACGTTAAGATCTAATAACGTTATCAAACATCAATATATACACTAGATTTGCAACATATATTGTTGGTCCTATATTGTTCGATTAGATTTCCCGTTGAAGTACTGAGCAGAAATCTTGGTAAATAATACAGCAGAATTTTGACACCACCCTAGGAAGTAGGAGCCTGGCCATGTAATAATTTGTTTATGATTATCTCAAATTAAACCTCCCAATAATTTCTAACTAAGCTAATTATATCATGGATCATTGATTGTCACGACATTTAATTACTATACTTAATTTCTTTGTTAGTGCAAGGTTTGTTATGTGATGGCTTATGCAATGATGTATGACAAGCCTCAAAACTCGTATATTAATTAGAGATTAACGTTTTAGTTCGTCGGATTCATAGCCTAAAGTAACATATGCCATAATAATTGAAATGATAAAATAATAAAATGCGAAAAGAGAGGAAGCTTTAAGCCTAATAATTCATAGAAAATAAACTTGTCTTACACTTACAAGTTGCTCTCTAAGATGGAGTTTTGCTATTTAGCACAAAAAGTTTTTAGAAAAAGGCACGTCCATTATTGAGCATACGTTATTGTCCTAATGATGCACCATATATAGTGGAATTAAAGTACATACAAACAATGACTAAAGAGCAAATTTGATGATATAGAAAATTCACATAAAATTAAAATAGTATGGATACATATTTCCATTGACTAAGTTTTATTTTACTATCTCTATCAATGTTGAATTAGTGGTTTGTGTCCTCACTCGATCGTCGCCCCAATAATTCGTGTAATTACTATTTTTAATATATGCAGGAAAATAAAAGTCAAGTTGCTACATTTAATGAGAAACAAGGGATTATTATTATTATTATTGTTGTTGTTGTTGTTATTATTATTAGAGGACCAACCAATCAAAAGCTTAATAAGCTAATGGTTGAAACCCATAATCGGTTTATATACATTATCACGCCTCCTCACATAAAAGCTCGTTGGGCTTGAAATGTGGATGGTAGCATAAGCCCCACCATACCCAATGTTTTAATATTCCACTCTGAAAGGAAGGGTGCATGGATGGGATTCAATCCGTGACCTTTGTGTTACGCTAGCTCTGATAGCATATTAGAGGACCAACTAACTCAACCAAAAGCTTAAGCTAATGGTTGAAGTCAAGGATCAGTTTATATACTCTATCAATTATTATAAATAATAATAAGGGTTACTGAGAGCAACTCATGTTTAGTTCACAATTAAAACAAACTTTAATAAGCTTTGTTAAATTGAGAGAAAATTAGGTTGATTAAAAGCACCGTAATAATGTTTTGTAAAACAAGTTTAAATAAATCAAGTTTTGAGGATAACACCTTGAGAAGATTTCATAGTGAGGGTGATCAAGGCATGCATGAATAATTTCAATAAACATTTGAACTACAAGATTGCGAAACCAGATTTTTTCTATAAATAATGACAATATTATCGTATACATTAATAACAATAGCTTATACACGTTGAATCAAACACATACAATATATTAATATTGAATCAAAAATCCCTTATACATGAACTAAAACCAAACATTCAATTGATCTCTAACATATGATGGTTGCCCCTAAGATGTCGAATCAAACACTTGTTCTTGTGGCAGCTAGCTAGCTTCATTCAATACGATAGTACGTACGTCTTCTAATGTATACTACGTACACTTGAACATGCACTTTTTTGATAGCATGTAATAACTAGCTAGTAGTATGGTGGTGGAGGAGAGGTGTAATAGTATGGACTCGGTGGTTTGTGCACTGGTGGAGGTGGTGACACGTACACGTATGGCGGAGGTGGTGGAGACTTGTAAACGTATGGAGGAGGCGGTGAATGCACGGGTGGTGGAGGGGACTTGTAAATGTAAGGAGGTGGTGAATGGGACTTCTTTGGAGGAGGGGGAGATGTATAGTGGTATGGAGGTGGAGGTGACTTCATTGGAGGAGGTGGTGATTTATAGATGTATGGAGGAGGTGGTGATTGATAGACGTAAGGAGGAGGTGGTGAGTGTACGGGTGGTGGTGGTGATTTGTAAATGTATGGAGGAGGTGGTGAATGCACGGGTGGTGGTGGCGACTCATAGATGTAAGGAGGAGGTGGTGAATGTACGGGTGGTGGTGGTGATTTATAGATGTAAGGAGGAGGTGGTGATGAGTGTACGGGTGGTGGTGGTGATTTGTAAATGTATGGAGGAGGTGGTGAGTGTACGGGTGGTGGTGGCGATTTATAGATGTAAGGAGGAGGTGGTGAATATACCGGTGGTGGTGGTGATTTGTAAATGTATGGAGGAGGTGGTGAATGCACGGGTGGTGGTGGCGATTTATAGATGTAAGGAGGAGGAGGTGATTTGTAAATGTAAGGAGGAGGTGGTGAATGTACGGGTGGTGGTGGCGATTTATAGATGTAAGGAGGTGGTGGTGATTTGTAAATATATGGAGGAGGTGGTGATTTGTAAATATATGGAGGAGATGGTGAATGTACGGGTGGTGGTGGCGATTTATAGATGTAAGGAGGAGGTGGTGAATATACCGGTGGTGGTGGTGATTTGTAAATGTATGGAGGAGGTGGTGAATGCACGGGTGGTGGTGGCGATTTATAGATGTAAGGATGAGGTGGTGAATGTACCGGTGGAGGTGGTGATTTGTAAATGTATGGAGGAGGTGGTGAATGCACGGGTGGTGGTGGCGATTCATAGATGTACGGAGGAGGTGGTGAATGTACGGGTGGTGGTGGTGATTTATAGATGTAAGGAGGATATGGTGAGTGTACGGGTGGTGGTGGTGATTTGTAAATGTATGGAGGAGGTGGTGAATGTACAGGTGGTATTGGTGATTTATAGATGTAAGGAGGAGGTGGTGAGTGTGCGGGTGGTGGTGGTGATTTGTAAATGTATGGAGGAGGTGGTGAGTGTACGGGTGGTGGTGGCGATTTATAGATGTAAGGAGGAGGTGGTGATTTTACCGGTGGTGGTGGTGATTTGTAAATGTATGGAGGAGGTGGTGAATGTACGGGTGGTGGTGGTGATTTATAAATATAAGGAGGTAAGTGTGTGGGTGGTGGTGGCGTTTTATAGGTGTAAGGAGATTGCGGGGGAGGAGACTTAATGTGTCCATGGTGTTTGTATAAGTGACCTTGATGGCCGTGGTGAGGCGGAGGAGGGGAAACATACATGTATGGTTCCATGGCTTGAACACTAGTAAAAAGCATGCATAACATCAAGGTAGTGTATCCAAGCCAAGGCAATGGCCTTGGCATTCCTTGGTTTCCCATGTTTTGGTGCTTGTTTTTGGGAATGAGTTGCTTAGCTTAGCAGAGTAAGTGGCAATATATAGGAGCGTAGTACAAGAATGTTAGGCTTTAGTAGTAGCTCACATAATGCATACTTGGAAAACAGCCTGGAAGAAGAACGTAAATAATACGGAGTAATCAATTAATAAATCAACCTTTAGAATTGTTCAAACACAAATTTGATTGGTTGGTTCAATGTTTGCAGCCGTGGCTGGGCCCTAGAGATTGCTAATCAATGTATCAAGTTAGGACTTGGGAGTAGGTAAGGTGCGTGGCCTTTGATGCTTGTCTCAATACCTAAAAAAAACAAACATATTCTGATTCGTATGTATTTTCGTCTATTTTCTTAAAATTGTCCCATTTTTCGCTTTACAATATCTCTTTGAAATTTCTCATATTATAAATGGTTATTATATGATGTATCACTATTTTACTTTCTTCATTGTATTAAATGGATTGGAAAATTTACTGCACATTAAAATAAGCAATAATCAGGCTCAGGTATTGAATACAATCTTGTGATTTAATTTAGTATGATAAGTTTTCTTAAAATAATAAGACATGATATGTCCCACTTCATTAGGTCTATCTTTTATTAAGTAAATAAATACCCATATTTGTTTTACCCTTTTTATTAAAAAAAAGTTGAAATATCCCATTTAGAGATGCGCGAGTAATCTTCCATGAAATTGGACCTTGACTTGTCAGTGTATTTGGGTTCTTGTTACTTTACTTTATACTGTATTTATATTCTACTCCATATTACTTCGTATTAATACACATTATATTGCAAATTTGTAATACCTTAATAATTTTTTTTGTAAAATAAGGTATGTAAGATATAATCATCAGGAAGAAAAATTAGTGTAATACATTAAATATTTTACTAATGCAGCATACATTGGTATATGATAAGACAACCTCCAATAATCTTGTGCTTCAATTCTTCACATGATCAATGTAGACATTTGAACCAATAGCACTAATAAGATTGAATAAGACTTAACTTGGATACACATTTTCTAAAGGAGAAAAAAAATACTAAAGAGGATCAGGGCATTATTGTAAATTGAACTTATATACGGTACTATATTCTTTATATATATACAAGCACCGACTTTCTCGTCAAGGTCATTTATTCTAAAAATATACGAGTACATACCTAGAAATGCAAAAAAAAAAAAAAAAATTACTTTTAATTTTATCGCTAACGTTTTAATGGCAATAAATTACTAATTAATCACATGCAACAAACAACCACATTCTAAATTTAGCATTAAGCACATTAAGATGATTGTTATTTTGGGATCATTCTTGCCATGAAAGTCAAAATCCAATAGCTAGGCTATTCATGCAAAAGAGCCAAATTTAATGAAGGGGTGTCCTCAGTGCAACGTTTTAGTCGTTGTATTACGATAAGAAAATAATTTGTTTATAGAATTTTTAAGTTTTGGATTAAATTATGGAAAATTTGAAAAATACCACTATCTATTATTGTCATTTTGTACAATACCACTTCAAGTTTTTTTTTTTTAATTGTATTTTACCACCTAGTTTTACCAAAAACACTAAAAATTACCACCACTTTAACCCAACCTTCCTAGATGATGTCATGGTGGGTCCCAATAACCACATCCCTTTCAATTTCCCTCTCTCTTCTCCCGAATTTTCCCTGTTCTTCCCTCTTTCTTCTCTTCTTTCAAATTTTAATTCTTGTGGAGTGGAGGGCTGACCCTTACTGGAAAATCACCACTACCATGTTAGTGTTTTGGCCCCAATTTCATGTATTAATTGTGTGAAAAATTTCTTATCTTATTGTCCAAAAGCTACTGGTTTGCAGCCTTATACCAAATCCTTGCAAATAAACAAATCAAATTAATTAGCAATTAATCGAAAAAAAAAAACAAACCAATTATTCATCCAATTAATCAATTCATAAAACCCTAATTTCAATTGAGAAAACCCCAATTTGATTTCACTAACCCTAATTAGACATGATTTTCCCCTCGATTTTGAATTGTCAATTCAGTGGAAGTTGTAATTGCATAATTCTAACCCTAAATTGCGACAAATAATTAAAATTTGAAAGAAGAGAAGAAAGAGGGAAGAACATGAAAAGAATCGGGAGAAGAGAGAGGGAAATTGAAAGGGAGGTGGTTATTGGGACCCACCATGACGTCTTCTAGGGAGGTTGGGGTAAAGTGGTGGTAGTTTTTAGTGTTTTTGATAAAATTAGGTGGTAAAATACAATTAAAAAAAACACTTGAGGTGGCATTGTACAATAACAATAGATAGTGGTATTTTCAAATTTTTCTTAAATTATAGTCATATAATACAGAGTACACTTTCTATTCATATTGATCTATCTTCACTTTCTATTCATATAATCTATCTTCACTTTCTATTCATTAATGTTTTTTTTTTCTTATACTCGTATCTAAATTACTAGTTACTGTTAAAATTATAACAATTTGACTAACTTAATAGTAAATTGAAAATGCGAAAATAATAATTATGAAATTCAAAATTTGTGATAACTAGCTTTTCTTTCTTGTGGTAAGATATAATTAAAATTAAGCTGGGAAGTAAACGTTTATGGGTATAATTTTGGTAATGAGTGAAACTAATTAATTCAATTATTGTACTATACATTTTCAATTTTCATAAATCATGTTGAGATTGATGAATAGACTAATCCACTTGTTTCTCAATTTCTTTAGTATTTTGTTTTTTATACTTGTTTTTTTCCTATAGATTCAATTATTTGGTCTTACATTGTGCGCCTCTTAGAATCCACTACTTAAATATTTTCTTCCTTGATAAGAATAGTCAAAATTATATAATACTTGTAATTTCATAACAATACATCGTATATCTATAAGGCGAATATCTAGGTAATTAAGACACTCTATAAATTATTCCACTAAACATGAAAATTATATCGAATGTGTTTAGGATAAAAATTACCCATGACAAATGGACCAATCCGGACCTGCCACGTGTCCACCACGTGGGCCAATCAGCGTCCGCCATTTGTCACCCTAAGAGGTCCAACATGGACTAATCAGGCCACGCCACGTGGCCTCCCATATGCCAAATAGGCAAAATGGCCACCAAGGCCCAAAGTCCGAGAGAAGCCCAATTTGCCCTGGTTAACCTAAACCTAAAATTGGCACGCTTCTCAAGACTATAAATACTTAATTAATCCTCATTAAAGGGGATTCAGCAGAATGACTCTCACCTAGAGAAGTCTAAACACATTGATCACTCCTCCCCTAGAGGAATCAGATCTCCCACCTTTACTTTCCGCATTTATTACTCCTCAAACAAGTACTAACTTGACCGTTGGAGGCGGAGCTCCCCCCACAAGAAGTCTCCGTTGTTTTGCAGGTACAGGCGCAAGGATACCAGTCCCGGAATTGTAACTCTCCCGCAGGACATCAGAAAACCCCGAAACAGAATGCATTTTAATTTTCAAGCCCTCAAAATTAATATGAGTTTATCAACGTTGATATTTATTTTGAGTGTTCACGATCTAATAATAAGATAAATTATAAACTCTGAAAAAACCTAAATTATGATAAAAGAGTACCTTAAAACCCCTAGTCCTAGTTCAACCGCGACACGTAGCACACGCTTCTCCCCAAGTCCTACCTAAAAAACCTTCACGTAACCCTTTCATGCAAGGAAGACATACCATACTTGAAACATGAGGTTAATTAAAAAAAATAATAAAAAAACCTCTCTCCGATCTTATGAAAAAAAAAAAAAAAAAAAAAAAAAAAAAAATTATATAATGCGTATAATTATTGCATGCAAGTGATCATCTTCAGATTATATATATTGACGTTTGATGTTACGTTCGAACTTCCAGCAGAAGTAGATAAGATTAATTATTTATTTTTTGTTTTCTAAATCGTCACCATCTTAAACAGCTGCAATTTTACTTTTCCATCTTTATTCAAAACGCATTGTTTTCACTAGACTAGCTAAACATAGACCTGGCAAATGGGTCAGTTAATATTCGGGTTGAATATGGGTTAGGTCGGATCATTTCGGGTTTCGAGTATGGCTCGGATCAGGTGTCGGGTCAAGTTAGGGTCGTGTCAATTTCGGGTCGGGTCAATTTCGGGTTAAGTATGTTCGGGTAATATTTGGGTCGGGTCATGTTTGGGTTGTTCCATTTAATTTGTGGATCTAGCTCAAATTAGTAATTTTATATTTTATTATTATTATGTTAAGAACTATCAATTTGGTTTATGAGTGTAGCATAGTTGAAGATGAACAATTTAAATTATTTTTGGCACCAGACAATTTTAGTTCAATTATAAGGTAATTTTAGTTTGGGACATTTCGAGTATTGAGTCTGCTCGGGTCAATTTTGAGTATCGGGTTTGTTCGGCTCAAACAATTCGGGTCGGGTCAACTTCGGGTCGGGTCAACTTCAGGTATCGGGTCAGGATCGGGTCAACTCTATTTTTGAGTCGGGTATGGGTCAGGTCGGGTTAATTTCGAGTTTCAGGTCATTTACGAGTCGTTGTGTTTGGGTCATTTTCGGGTCATGGATCGGATCATTCGGATCGGGTCATCGGATCCGGATTAAAATTGCCAGGTCTAGCTAAACATAGTATACTTGTGGATAGAAAGCGTTTAAATATAGAAATTGATAATTATTAACTCCTTTTGCATGTAAGTAAACCAATATACTTGTATGTAAGTGAGATCTCAGTCATCTATCTAAAAGCTTTTACTTCCTCAAAAAAAAAAAAAAAAAAAAAAAAAAAAAAAAAAAAAAATCTAAGAGTTTTTACCATTTAAAATACGTAGCTTAAATGTAACAATTAACAAATAGTCACTTCTTTGGAAAGTAAGACTTCTACTACGGAGTATAATACATACAAGTCCTAATATTATCTATAAACAAAAAATATATATGAACAATTTTTGCAAGTTAAATTGTTTACAAATACACTTAAATTATATACAAGTATTATCTACAATATTTTTCTCAACAAAAAAAAAAAAAAAGTATTATCTACAATATTCCATTGTAGGGTTTTAGGTACTCTAAGCAAAAATTCTTGAATCTCATTCACACG